AAACAGGTAAAACTTATGTCGGCTATGCTATAGATTTATCTATACGATTTAGATCTTATTATTCTAAAGTATATCTTATTCGTTATTACTATAGTTATAATTTTTACGCTTTACGTCGTCATGGTTATTCTGCATTTAGTCTAACCATTCTTGAATATGTTGATATTTCAAATTTATCTTTAGAAGAAAGAAAAAAAAATTACTACTTGAAAGAGAACAGCATTACATTGACACTTTAAACCCAAGGTACAATATTCTTAAAGTAGCTGGTAGTCGTTTAGGATCTAAACACACAAAAGAATCACTTGCTAAATTTTCAGAGGGTAAATCATCCAATGTACGGTAAAATATTCACCTGAGGTACGAGCTAAAATAAGTTTAGCTTTAACAGGTAAAATAACCCTTGAATCTACAAAAGCTAAAATTAGTAAAGCTCATACTGGTAAAACTTTATCAGAAGGGACTAAATTTAAGATAAGTGAGGCTCTTACAGGTAAAGTATTAACGGAGGCTACAAAAGCTAAAATTAGTGAAGCTAATATAGGTAAAACTTTGTCAGAAATTACTAAAGAAAAAATTAGTATTGCTAGAGGTACTACTATTTATATTTATACTCCTGATAAATCTTTAATTAATTATACTTTTACTTCTTATCGTAAAGCTGCTGAGTTTTTTTAATGTAGATAAAAATACAATAACACGCTACATTAAGAGTGGTAAATTGTTTCAAGATAAATGGATCTTATCAACATCTATTTATAGTCCAGCTTCAAAGCAGGATAGTGACATCTAATTATTATTTATGACAAAGGGTTATAATATCTCATAAATATATAATTATTAAAGACAAAGATGCTAAGTATATTTTACTAGCTTTGTTCTCTCCTTTTTAATCTTAATACCCCCCCTCAGCGAGACGACTCTCGGTAACCTCTATGGACCTATGAATAATTAAAACTTTTTAATTAACATCCCCCTTCTTTTAGTAACATTATCATCTTTTACTGGTAAAAGTGGCTACAATCGTTAATTAATAATAATGATTAAATTTCTTTTTTTGTACGAGACCCATTTTAAAAATTATTATGTTATTCAAATTATTTAACTTTTTCAACTTATTCCCTACTGCTCATTGTGACGTAGCGGAGCCTTGGCAATTTGCATTCCAAGACGGTGCATCACCATCTTTCGATGGAATTGTAGATCTTCACGATCAAATTATGTTCTATTTAGTAATAATCGTTATCGGTGTATCTTGGATGTTAGGTGCTATTATTATTAAATTCAATACAAGAACTAATCCTATAGTATATAAATACTTTACTCATGGTACAGTTATTGAACTAATCTGGACAGTTACTCCTGCTCTAGTTTTAGTAGCCATAGCGTTTCCAAGTTTTAGACTATTATATCTTATGGATGAAGTTATAGATCCTGCTATTACTGTTAAAGCTGTAGGTTCTCAATGGTTCTGGAGTTATGAATACTCTGATTATATCTCAGATTCTGGAGAACCAATAGCTTTTGATAGTTTCATGGTTCCTGAAGCTGATTTAGAAGAAGGTCAATTTAGATTACTTGAAGTAGATAATAGAGTAGTATTACCTGTAGATACTCATGTTAGATTTATTTTAACTGGTAGTGATGTAATCCACTCTTTTGCAATACCAGCCTTAGGACTTAAACTTGATGCCATCCCAGGTCGGTTAAATCAAACTTCTACTTTCATTAATAGAGAAGGTTTATTCTACGGACAATGTTCAGAAATCTGTGGTGTAAATCACGGATTTATGCCAATTGTGATCGAAGCTGTATCATTAGAAAAATATCTAGCTTGGTTAAACGAGCATTTAAATTAAACTCCCCCCTCTACGTTAGCTTTAATACTTATTTAACTTAGTATTTTAGTTAACACCCCCCGTCTAATATAATTGATTTATAATTAATTAAAAGTGGCTATATAAGAGATATATAATAATGATTAAATTTCTTTTTTTGTACGAGACCCTTTTTAAAAATTATCATGTTATTTAACTTTTTCAACTTATTCCCTACTACTCATTGTAACGTAGCAAAACCTTTGCAATACACTAAATTGTCAAAAAATGGACAATATAGAAGTTTATCAAGTTTATTAGTTTCTTATTCGAAAGATCGAAAAGAACCTATAATACTAAGTAAACCTCAAGTTCCTGCAAATATATCACCTTGGTTTATCACTGGTTATGCAGATGCAGAAGCTTGCTTTGATTTTAATATATTAAAATCAAGATCAGTTAAAATTGGACTTAGTGTAGTTCCACGATTTAGAATTACTGCACATAAACGAGACATTGTTTTATTGTTTATGATCAAAGAGTATTTTAATTGTGGGACAATAGGAAAAATTGACGATAAAGATTGCTTAGATTATATTATTGCGGATCAATCTAGCCTTTTCAATATAATAATCCCTTTCTTTAACAAGTACCCCTTAAGAGGTACTAAACATTTAGATTATATGGATTGGCTTAAGGGATTAGAAATTATCAAAAATAAAGGACATTTAACTCTTGAAGGTATTTCTGAAATTAGATTAATTAAAGCTTCTAGTAATACAGGACGATTACTTAATAATAACATTAATCTACACTGTAATCCTAACACTCCAGGATATATCCCTTTAAACCCTAATTATATTAGTGGTTTCCTTGCAGGTGACGGTTATCTATCTTTAATATCTAAAATAGATTCACCTAACTTTGGTAGAATGAGAATTGGATTAACTCAACATCAGGATAATTATTTATTATTACAATCTATAAGAGATTATTTTAATATCGACAATTTTGTTATTTCAAAAACTAACAATAAAGCTATTTCATTAAATAGTGGTTCTGAAGACACAGTATTCAATATTCTTCTTCCTTTTTTTGAAGTACATCCCATCTATGGTGTTAAAGCTATTACGTTAATAAAACTTCTTAAGATTCGGGATTTAATCTTAAGTCTAAGAGGTTCAAGAAAGACCACTAAGTGGTCACCAGAATTAAAATCTCAAATAATTAGTATTTGGGAGGATGATTCTATCCAGTTAAAAGCTGATGCTACTGCTTAGCGTTGCCTTTTAACACCCCCCCCGAAGGGGCAGAACCTAGAAAAGCAGCTGAATTCTTTAAGTGTGACCATAAAACTATTTTAAATTATGCAAAAAGCGGAAAATTATTTAAAAACGAGTGGATATTATCTACATCGCCCGTCCGGTCCGTCTAAACGGCCCGGGCTTAAATAAGATTCGATGCTCTGCGCAATTAAATTAATGGTAGGGGAATAATATACCATTTACTAAATTACACCCAACGTGTTACTGCCAGACGGAATATTTGTCTATTATTATTAATAATCCTTCATAGCATCATATTTAGATGAAGTAATATCAGAAGTTGTAGATTCATCATTATTTCTTCTCCCTCTATTAATAGCAATAGCACATACATGAATACTAGCACCAACAGCAGAACTAACAAGTAGAGCACCAACCTTTTGTATAGGTGAAATAGGCGTGCCCTTAACAACTGAAGCAACAGCAGCAGCTGTTCCACCCGCACTAATACCTAAACCTATATTAGAACCAATCGTTACAAGTCCATCACTCAAACAATCAATAGCCCTTTATTAATATTTACATTGGTAGACAATACAGGATCAGAGGAAAGGGGTTTTTCAGCAGTATAAACACTAGATAAAGAGAAAAATTTAAAATAGAGATAAAAAAATAAAAAACCTAACATAAAATCTTGAATAAGTCTAAGAAACTTATCATCAGATAATTTTAAATTATCCAGAATAAAAGTTATAAAAAGGAAAACAATAAAAGCAGTAATAATTCCTAAAGAGTAATTATTCCATAAATCTCCAAAATAGTTGAAAAACATCATTTTTTTTTATTATTTCATGTCAATTAAGACTTGAATTTTATTAAACTATCTTTTAATCAATTCTTGTTATTTATATTAATCCGGTAAGATTTTTATTTAGATCACTTATTTCAAATTAATATTATATTCTAAATTTTATGATTAACATCATATTTGTTATGATAGGGGGTGTTAATTCCGGTTCTTAAAATTATGAGTATAATAATAAGAAAGCCATCATTAAAGCGAATAACCCAATTGCTTCAGTTAAAGCAAATCCTAAGATTGTATAAGAGAATAATTGAGCTTTGATTGAAGGGTTTCTAGCAGTAGAGTTTACTAAAGCTGCGAATACTGTTCCAATTCCAACACCTGCACCAGCTAATCCGATTGTAGCTAATCCTGCACCTATGATTTTTGCGCTTGCTAACATTTTTATATTTTTGTTATTTCATGTCAATTAAGACATGAATTATATTAAACTATCTTTTAATCAATTCTTGTTATTTATATTAATCCGGTAAGATTTTTATTTAGACCACTTATTTCAAATTAATATTATATTCTAAATGAAATTAATCCGGTAAGATTTTTTATTTAGACCACTCATTAAAATTAATAAACGAAGCTTCCGGGGGGGGGAAACTCACCCCGGAAGGCAAGTAAAATAATATTGTCTAGCCCACTGAGGGGAGGTTCTTGAGCCTTCACTCCCCCCACTAGCATCGTTTATTATTTAAAATTAACGATGTTTGGGGAAAAGGAAAGGGTGGGATGAGACTGGGCTAATTTTTCTATTTTTTTTTTTAAGATACTAGACTGGGCTACGCCCCGTCTTTATTTTATAATGTTTTAAAATAAATTTTAAAACTGCCCAGTCGGCCCGCCAGGGCAGACTCATTGGTTTATAATACTAAACTCCTCGGAGGGCACAAGGAAAACACCCCAACTTTAGTTGGCATTGACTTAAGTCAATGTTTAGGGTAGTTCCTCATCGCCGGCCCCGGGATTTTATTAAATAAAAAAGGATTATAGCTTAATTGGTTAAAGCGCTATAAAGTGGGCAATTAATTATAAAATTAATTATAAATATATAATATATAAAGGACTATAGTTTAATGGTAAAACACGGTCTTGATAAGACCGCTAGTGGAGGTTCGATTCCTTCTAGTCCTATAAAATAATTATTTTATATTATCTAGTTTTTTAATCTTAGATTTAGCTAAGGTTTTTTATATAAGAATATATCTTGAGCAAGAGAGGGGTGGCTAAATCCCTAGGGACCTCCCGGGATTGAGTTTTCGTCTAATTAAAATAGACAGTAAGCTAGATAAGAATTTTAATTCCTTTAAATAAAATTATTTTTTTAAGTGGGTAAGATTCACTTCTTTTTAAGTAGTAAGATTAAACTTCACCTTTAAGGTATTGAGAATTTTAAATTTCAGATTATATTCCACAACAATTTATAGCTTAATTAAATGTGGTTATATTTGAGTTATGCTATTAACAGTATTGATATGTAAAATAATTCATTGTCATTGAGATTGACCACTCTCAATAATAATAGTCTGAGTCTATCTTTTGGTCTGATATATGGGTCCATGATTTGGATAAATTTCGTAATTCTTGAATGAATCAGAAATTAATTAAGTACCGTGAGGGAAAAAAGTCAAATTTTGATGATGATCGACCATTTTTATATTAATACCTAGATGCGAGTTACATTGCGTCAATTTTATATACCGTTAGCTTCTTTTAGTGCTTATTAGATGACGTTTATTTATTGAAATAAACCTCCGCTCTAATGCCTCAGTAAATTCTTAGTTTGTCTAATTATTTACATTTACCCTGAGGGGATACTGATATGTGAGATTCCGCAGGAATCAGCCCCTTCGGGGCAGATTCTTTTTTAGGCTTATCATTTCCATTGAGGGTTATAATGGATAAAGGAGATGTAACTTTTTATGATGTAATTTATTCTTGGATGTTAAAGGTGGCTTATCCCCTTACCTTTCCCCTTAGAATTTATTGCTAACCTGATAGAATCCTTCATATTACCTGTAACCAGTCGGAGAACATATCTCAAAAAAAAAAATGACAAACTTATTCAATAATTTTCTTTTCCTTAATTCTTATTCTTCTGCTTTTTCTCAGCAGACAATACTATTTTTTTCAACTATTTCTAGAAGTACTAGCTCTAATTTAACTTCTGATATTAATCCAAATAATAATTTTATAAAAGGATTTCCCTCTAATCAATTTTACGAGAATTCAGATACGGATAAGGCGGATATACTTCAGGACAATAAAGGAAAAATTGGTATTTATATGTGGTATAATAAAAAGTCAGGAAAATCTTATGTAGGTAGTTCTATAGACCTTTCAAAAAGATTTAGTTCTTATTATTCTTTACCTTATTTAGTTAGAAGAAACAATAGTTATATATGTAATGCTTTATTTAAAGATGGGTATTCTTTATTTAGTCTAACTATCTTAGAGTACATAGATATTTCTAATCTCCCAAAAGACCAAATTAAAAATTTAATACTCGAACGAGAGCAATATTATCTTAATAGTTTAATGCCTATGTATAATATCTTGGCAAAAGCAGGGAATTCTTTAGGTTACAAGCACTCAGAAGAGTCTTTATTAAAAATGTCAGGTGCCAATAATCCAATGTTTGGTAAAACAGGAGAAAGTAATCCTTTTTTCGGGAAATCACATTCAAGCGAGAGTTTGGAGAAAATGCGTAAACCTAAAAGTGAGTTACACAAATTAAAAATTTCTATAGCTAATAAAGGGAATATACGTAAAGGACATTCTCAAGAAACTCTAATTAAATTAAGTAATGCTAAAAAGGGTAACAAACATCCTATGTTTGGTAAAGTTGCTCTTAACGCAAGAAAGGTTTATATATATTCATTAGATAATAAACTTGTTAAAGAATGTTCTTCAATTATTGAAACAGCTAAATGGTTAAATACTTATTCCATAAAAATTAATAAATATCTTTCTAATGGTGAAGCTTTTGATAATAAGTATTTTATTCGAGATACAATAATTAATAATTAGTTATTATTATCAATTATAATTAATCAATACCCGTCGAGCCTCCTTTTTTTACTATATTTTTATTAATTCCAGTTCCCGGAAGGACACCCCCCCCCCCATCGAAACGTCCGGGGGACTATTCTTTTTTTTTTAACTTTAATTAAAAACTTTCTATTCTAATCAGGGTTCCTTATTGTAAAACAATTACAATTAACACCCACCTTTATTTAACTATAGGGATATTTTCCGGATAGCTTTTATGATAATGACTTAAAAGAGTAGATCTTATTTTAATTTCTTGATAAGACCGATAGTAGAGGTTCAAGTCCTCTTAGTCCTATAAAATAGATAAGCCAAGGAAGAATGTGAGAATTAATTTGCCCAGACGGTGATGGCCAATCAGCCACAACCCTCCCCCCCCCTCTGCATTTCTACAGAGGCACCCGCCGAGGAAAATATAAAAAACTAACCGGTCCGGGATTTAATAAAATTAGAACTAACCACCTTCGGGATTGGTTTAAGGCTCTCTGGGTCGTGAACTCATTCTTTTTAGTTTTTGTGTAATATTCTTAAAGTTGTTTAAGAATAACTTATATTCAAATAATTATCCCCCCCCGCAGATATGCGGGGGGGGGGGGAAGGGGGAGATGAGGAACTATCCCTCCCCCTGAACATAGGCCTTGGCCCTATGTTAAGTTTTTAACTTAAAGAGTAGTATCAAATGTTTTTTATATATTCATATAAAAACTTACCCCCATGGGCAATAATTATTAGAAAAGAAATAAACAGTTTTCCAATAGAAAGTAAAACAAATAGTCTTTATATTAAAGGGACAACCAACTATCAAATTGGACTAATCTTTATAAAAAAAAAATAAAAAATGAAGATAATAACCATGAGTATTTTATATCTTCTACTTTTTTGGCTAATAAAGTATAAATCATAACATACGAACGACGAAAAATCTTATTTATATATTATTAACTACTAATTAATAAGAACATTATTTTATAAAGAAGATTATAAAAGAATAAGGGACTATAGCTTAATTGGTCGAGCACATAATTGTCGATTATGAGGATATCGGTTCGAATCCGTTTAATCCCGATAAATTAAGTTAGTATTTGTCATACAAAATCAATAAAAAAATAAACAAAACTGCCCTGTGGGGCGACTTAGCCCGGTCTTTTTATTTTCTTTTTGGTTAATCTAACTTGCTGTCTTCCTGTGGGAGGATTAAATTTTAATTATTTTTTATAAATTAAAAAAAAATGCCTCAATTATTACCATTCTATTTTGTTAACATGATTTCATTTTCTTTCTTATTATTTGTAGTAATCTTATACGTGTTATCAACATACATACTACCAACTTATCCATTATTGTTTTCTACAAGAATGGCTTTAACTAAATAATACGTTAAAATATTTAGTAATTACTAAACATTTTAACACCCCCTGTAGGGGTGCCCGTAAGGGCTAGAATGTCGGGAGTATTCTCTTTTCATAGAATACCCTAGTATGTATGGTTTAAATAGTTATAATTTTATTTTAAAAGTGGCTATATGATTTATAAAAAAAGCTATTTTTATTTTTTTTAATAACAGTATTGATATGTAACATTGATTATTTTAAATATATAAAACTATATATAGTTCAAGTCTTTTTAAAAGACAAATTCTTTACTTATTACGGAATGTAACTTAATTAGGTAAAGTAAATAAGCAATTATCTTGCTTATCTTATCAGAGTTCGAATCTCTGCATTTCACAATATATATATACATATGTGTATATATATAGCTATATTATAAAAATTAATCTTATGGAATAAAGATTATTCTCGGATATTAATACAATCTTCTAAAGATTTAGGTAATTTATTAATATTGATTACTTTAATAAGTGATCTTACCGATAGAAAATCTATAAGACCTTATAAAATAATTCTGTGCAAGGGACTATAATTCTTCATCTCAATAAAAGAGTGGGTGAACTCCGAAAATAAATTTTACGAGGAGAATTTTATCTCTTAACTGTTAGTCGATTATTCTGATAACAAAGCAAAGAATAATAATATAAGGCTAGGATTAATACCTATTTTGGTTATTGATTTTTTATTAATTTACCAAAGTGCCTCAGGTGAAGTAGGCACCCTACAAAATTACTAAAACCATGACACAACTACAACTATTTTTTTATTCCATTGAAATCTTTATAAGTTATTTATATTTAGTAGAACAATCCTACGTGGAATTTTTTCAAACTAATGAAATATTATTATCATTCTTTGTACCTTTAATGATTTATTCTAATCCCGACAAGGATAAATCACTTATTCTATCTGATCTTAAAGGTAAAACGGGTGTTTACATGTGGATCCATAAGGAATCAAGTAGAATTTATGTTGGTTCTGCAATAGATTTATCTATACGATTAGGTAATTACTATTCTCCTTCATGGTTGAAACAAGCAGATAATTATATCTCCAGAGCTTTGATGCTTCATACTCATTCAGCGTTTTGTTTATCTATTCTTACGCATATTGATATTTCGAATTTAGATAAAGAAAAAGCGCGTTTATTGATTCTAAAATCAGAGCAGTTTTATCTGGATATTATCTTTTCACTTGATGAACCTTACACTTATAATATACTTAAAGTAGCTGGTTCTTCGCTAGGCTTAAATGCTTCTGCCGAAACTAAAATATTAATGAGTCAAGCCCATAAAGGGAAAACTCATTCTGCTGATACTAAAGCTTTAATTAGTAAAGCTATGTCTGGCGAGAACCATCCAAATTATGGTAAGACTGGTGAGAATAGTTCTATGTATGGCCGAAAAGGTCAGAATCACCCTATGTATGGTTCTACTGGTGATAAGAGTCCAGTAAGTAAAAAGGTGTTTGTTTATTCAAATGAAACTCCATCAATTCTTTGTCATGAATTTGTCTCGTGTACAGAAGCAGCGAAATATTTTAAATGTAGTATTAAAACTATTTCTAAGTACCTCAAAAATGGTAAGGTATTACAAAAACAATGGACCTTATCTTCCTCTAAGAAATAAGGTTACAATCCATAGCTGTAGGGGGACTAATATACGGCTCGTTTATCAAATTTGTTAGATAAAA